TAAAAATTTCTCTCAAATAGCCCAAAAAAAATACTGAGTGTTGAATAAGTAACGAAGCAAACTTACAAAGCGGTAACAAAGCAGATGATTCTTGAGCAAACACACATTGGGCAAAAAAAACTTTGTACCAAAAAAGGAAAACTAAAAAAATGTTTAATCCCCCTTCAAAAAACTTACAAAATAAATTTTTAACTCCGCAAACCATTCATAAATATGCCTCTGGGCGGATAAATTATTAGCTGGAAAATTTTGCAGCTGAACGAACAAAACAGTGAAAATATATACGAAAAAGAAAACTGAAATCTGAGTTGGTAAATTTTCAACGCAGAGGCGAAGCTTCGCTTCGCAAACGCTAACGAAAACACAAAAATCAGCACTCCAAAATGCAATAACAAATATTAGAAATAAGCCTCCAATAAGCAAAAACTGGGCTACCTCGGAGATTCAAACCTGCGACCTAAAGATAAAGTCTCACACACTAGCCTCAGATGCTTATTAGCCACCAAACAATAACCACAAGAAAAGTAGAGAACAGATGCTATGCAATTTCCAATGCTACAGTGACAATTTCCAACTAAGTGAACACTTTTATTTGCGAGTTGGGCTAGAAAAAAAGAAGGTTCGTTATAATACACAAAGCTGATCGCAAGAGTAAATAGAACGGCCATTTAAAATGCAAACAAGCTGAAAAGTTGCCTGTTGGTTGACGAAAGCACAGATGGAGATGACCACCAATATTAGTCATCCTCTGAACACAGTTATTTACGGGAAAAAGTCAAGTACCCGAGTTCTAATTTGCTAATGTTTCCGTGTTTCTGCACATTTTGTTTATTTCTTCTCCTTCATTCGTTATTATAGAGCGTAATAAGAGCTCTGCTTTAAAAAGAAATTGAAAAATAGGTACACGAAATTGAACAACAAACCGCGGCAAAAAACGAGCGTAAGGATTTTACGGCTCATGTGAAGCACTAGGGAAGTGATTCCGTTGCAATTTATTTGCCTGAAAACGTTCCGGTTACAGTTCGATACTATTATTTTACAGTGTCATTAGAACCCTACTAAAACGCTATTTCCGGTACACGATAATGGGTAGTAACATTTGTATTTATCATTTTGTATCTGCTTAACTACCCCCTTTCAAGAAAGGGGGGCAATTGTTAAGTAGATTAACTACGTCGAACTTTCGATCAATCAGCATGCCGCTAAATTCGTATTTTATATACAACGCTCTAGTGCTAATTTAGTGCTTTTTTCTAATATGGAAGACAATTTTTTAGTAGATGCCATAGGGAAGGGGGTAATTGTTGAGTATATCCATCGTTTTTGTAATAACCCCATCTCGATTTTCAGATATATAAAATGTCATTCGAATCACAGCAAAGGCTGTTAAGCCTGCCAAATTCTTGTCTTTTGTTCGTAAGTAACGTTCTCTACTTAAAATCAAAAGAATTTTTTCCAAGTACTTATTGAACCAGGATAAATTTTAGGGAGCAAACATTTCTTAAACTCAATTTTATATCGGAAGTAAAAAAAACTAGCATTTAAAGATGATATTTGAAATGGATGAATGAGTAATATTTATCACATCTAACAATTCAACGACTAAAATATCAATACTCTATTTCCTACATCAGAGCGCAAATCAACTTCTTTTAAACGTAACCAGAACAAAGGATGAATATTAATTAATTACCTTAGAGACTAATTGATTTTGAATTGTCAATTCAAGAACTACAATAGAAATGTCCTGTCAAGGCCATATCAGCGTGAAATTAACGGGCAGGGGCCATTTTATCTCCAAGCGCGACTTGTATTTGGTTACAAAAATAGATCTGATTGAAAACTGCTAAAATAATTGAAAATGACAGTTTGAAGAGACAGAAAAAATATATATATGCCATTCAATAAAGCAGGTGTAATTAAATGTACAAATATAAGAATAATCCCAGACCAGGTCATCAGGTTAAAAAATCTTAATTTAATCGAACTGAGTACAAAACTCCAATGTTAAGCTAAGCTACAAAATGAAGTCCCTGTATTAGTTAATAATTAACATCTAGCTGGTAACAAAACGCCCACAAGAGTAAAGGAAGCGATATTCAAGGGAGCATTTATATCCACTAAGATAAAGGTCAACCGAGGTCAAGTCAGGAAGGATAGAATACGGAACTCATCTTCACTCATCAACACGCACGCATCTACGCAAACTTGATTATTCTACAACTCACGAAGCGCAACTCCGAAACTTGATCGGAAATACAACAACCAAATCGAGTTAGTTTAATCCGACCTCATCAATGGTATTAGTGTTATTATTTCATACTAAACAATCGTGATTGGTGATATGTAACAAACACTATCCACGAGCAAGTACACTTCGCTTATCGAGATGCGAAACGTATACAAAAATTCTCGCTGGCCGAATGAGACTGCTGCGTATTCTATCCCTCCCGACAAAATTATCCAATCACAGGCCTCGGTTCACTACTGCAATCTGATTGGATGAGATCACAATTTAGACAGTCACTATCACAACAGTTCAACAGACGAGTTTATCATTTTATGTTGTCTTCAGTTTTTTTGACTCAGCATCAGAAGATGATATCTCTTTCAGGTTTTTGGCGTGAGAGTGATAGCTTTTATTTAAATTATATGCACCTCCCGTTGAAGCAAAAATTCATCGTTTCTTCCTCATCTTCGAATCGGCGTCATCAAATTCAATATTCATCGATCGGTTAGTTTCGAAGGGAAGGATAGAATACGCTCAGCAGAAGACAGATCAATCGAACTAAACGCTCTCCAAGAAGCTCAAATCGCAATAGACAAAATAGAATCGAGCTCTTCGCAAGACGAAAATAGCAGGCAACAATTTGGACAGTGAAAGAAGGTGGGAATGATGTGCGAGGAAATATATTTCTACGGTGATAGATGATAATGCTCTGCAGTTCAACTCAGGGTGCACAAAAAGTGAATTGACACAAACGAAATCGTGCTTATCATTGAACACTTCATGTCACTATTGCGCCCAATCTAATTATCGTCTAAATTATCAAAATCCTCTTCATAATTTGACTCTTCGCCCTCGTCTGAAACAGACTCTTTATGGTCGACATTCGTCAACTGTTGCAAGATATCAAACGAAGTACTTTTACTAGGCGAGTATAACCTGCGTCTTTCCTCTGAGTCCATTATACCACCATATGGATCCCTAGGCGCTGCTGATGACGATGACAGGAAATCAGCCGGGGACCTCGACCTACTTTGCCTAAGGTAACTATTAATAACCGCATTAGAGTCATACGAATCAGCATCATTAAAGCGATCACGATCTGAGGTCGCGTTACTAAAATTAGTCATGGATCTTTCCGAGGGTGAGTCGCGAGCACTCTGAGGAATGCGGTGCTGCAAGTGACTTGGGATAGCTTGATGGAAGTGAGACGGAGGCAGGTTTCCGCCTCTACTGGTCGCAGGAGAGTTGAACTTTTCGCTCTCTAGGTTACCTCTACCAAATACCTCCTCGCTAGCACAACTTACATCATCGACATCATTCAGATCTTCGTTTAACCCACTAGAATTCAAAAAACACAAATCTCCAGTGTTCGAATTTCTCGAGTCTATATTACGCTGGTCATATGGATGATTCATACTCTGGCGCATATCAGACTGAGGGTGCTCATCGGCACGACTCGGGTTACGAGACTGACTTTGAGAACTATTCCGACTTCGCTGTTGGAACTGCTGATGATGCGCATTGTTACCATACTGTGGCATAGGAGGCAAGTCCCGGTCTCTAAACGGTGTACTAGAATGACTACTGTGACTCATTGTCGGACTCAAAACAGTATCTGGGTTAATTTCGACACTACCTCGGTCCAAGGTGTCTGTAGACCTTCGAATCTTTTCCATCAGTTCATCGTCACCCACAATTGAGAAATCATTACTTGCCGCTACAGAAAATTTATTGGTTGTACAACTGTCCAGAGTATTGAAATTACTCATTGAGAATTGGGCTAAGGTGTGGGGTGAGTTGGACGGTGATATAGCCTGCAGCTCCGGGAACCTTTTCTCTCCCCGTGAATTTCCAGAGCTACCTTGGTCGTTATACGACCTCCCATGCTGGCGACTCATGTCTGTTAGCGAACTTTCACTGGATGATAAATCAGCGCCATTCCCATTTTTAGAGTTCATTTCATCGCCATTTTCAGTATCGGTATTACCATTTTCGTTTATTTTTATGTTATTAAATCGCTCTTCAATCCTTTCTAGGGTGGGTCTATTACTTCCATAGATGGAGGAGCCCTGTGTTATCATCGGTCCTCTGAGTGATAACACAGGCGGCTGCTGTTGATAATACATTTGGACATTGGACATCGGCTGAATTTGTGCCGAAATAGGCTGACCCATTACAGGCGGTAAAGCTGGCGGACTAACTGGACTCTGCAAACTGCCTGCAGAGTTTTCCAGACTTCTGGAGTTAGTCACCGCTCTAGACTGTAGCAACTCTTGGGATCCATGGCGCTTCGGAATTATATCCGCCGGCCTATTGTGTACATTAGATGCCATGCCGTACGGACATTCAGAGTAACTCGACTTAAAATCATAAGGACCTTCACCGTAAGGGTTCTCAGATGTTCCGTACGCCGAGTTCCCAAGCAAACCCCGCTTTCGAAACTCGTCGGTTATTGATGACCTGGAGTTTTGGTGTGAGAGTGCGGGCAATGGTACGGGAACGTTGTTATTGTTGTGGAACAATTTCTGTAAACTTCCGCGGCTTGAAGACGCGTCTGCATGTTGAAACTGAAGTGGCGAGTTTTGTGAGTTTCGGTTAGGATCATATAACGCGGACGGCAATCTCTGAGTATTCAACGGACGTGGCAAACTATTGTTAATATTAGTATTGGACGGTAGCACATTTGCACCCGGAGCCAAAGGCGAGGCCGACAAAACGTATGGTGAGGTAGGATTGTGGGTTATTCTACTATTTTCAGACATATACTTGCCTTCTGAGTCGATTGAGTCACGCTGACGACTGGGAGGCCGCATCATCTGTGCGTTCCCGCCCATCATCTGAACGCTTGAATGCTCAATCATAGCGTTTTGTGTCTGGTTGTGATTTTGCTGCTGACCTTCGCCGTTAACTGGGTAATTCTCATAATCGTGATCTGAGTCATTCTCTTGAATCACCTCCCCTGAGATTCCACTTTCTGGGTGGTACTGCTTCGTTAGATGGGGAGGCAATTGAGGGTGATAATTGTTTGGGGGGAGATGGGGCAAATTTTGCTGCTGCTGCATCATCTGCTGATGTTGTTGCTGCTCCCCTGGAGACATCAGCTGCATACCCATTTGGTTAATGCCTTGGTTGGACATTGCCAAGGGGATCATTTGAGGTCGCATTGGCTGGGATCCGTCATTTAAAGGAGTACCACTCCTGTTCAACAAAGGGGTCCCAGACATCAGCTGCTGGGGAAGTGGAGATGTCGCTGACATCCGATTGAAGGGAGCAATGGCAACTGCAGGTTGCTGCAACTGTTGCATGGATCCATGCATTGAGCCCTGAATCATCTGTTGTTGCTGTTGCATCAGAATCATGTTAGGGTCCATCTCCTGTCTTTTTGGAGGCATGGTAGAAGGGACCATCTGCATGCCCATTCCAGGCACCATCTGCATCCCAGACATGCTTCCAGGGGTTCCCGGAGTCATCTGAGATACCGTTGCGGGCGAGGCCTCGAACGATTTCGCCGGCAGGGTTTTGCTGATTGGTGCTCCTATACTGCTTCCAGGCCTATGGCAAATCAGATTATAATTCAACTCGTTATTTAGGTATCATTGCTAGATAGATAGATGCCTGGTTTATTAACTCACCTTCTCACTTGTAGCCTAGCTTGGTTTGTACTTCGCACTTGTTCAGCCATTTCTCGCTGTGTTCTTCCTCTAAAACAAAAAAAAACATTGCCTGTTCATTTTTTTCGTTTTCGATTCGTTTTCATCGATGGCATAGACTCGCAATAAACCTATATCCATAAATTTGAGCAGCACACTTGTTATGTTTCAAGAGTGGGAAACTCAGATGCCTTCAACTTACGCGTATCTAAATGAGGACCCTGACTGTAGGATCTTGACTGAGTTCTGTGGTTTGATAGCATGTTCATTATGGGGGAGTCTGAAAAAGGCGTGGTGCTCAATGCAGTCCTTCCAGAACCTCTTGCACGCATTCCTGCTGGTCATCAGGTATTCAACTGTTGACTGGTTGAAGGAGGACACTGCGTCTGTGAGAAGTTTGATGACGAAAGCTTTCTTCTTGAAACTCAACTTTCGGATCTTGGAGAACGCGAACGAGTTGGACTTCTGAAAGTGCTGGAACACGCTGATGCCGTGCTGGCTCACTGCTATATGGACCAGAACATCATCTGAGTTCTAAACAAGATTTTAATTAGAAAGAGAAAGTATTTATTTGAATTCCACAATCAAAGTGTTCCATTCTTCAACCAAAGGCAAGAGCGCGTGGTAGTTCTTATATTCTTAAGTCAAGTGTCAGATCGAGCTCCTGTCTTTAGCAGAGGATACCTGTTCTTATATCGCCCTAGCTTTTACTCAACGGCAACGAGGGTAACAGTGATTTTATGTAAGTTCAAAGTGTTACATGTGTTTTGCCAGGAGACAAATCGGGCGGCAAAATGAGAAGATCGTTTCAACTGCTGTGATCGAAAAATTATCAAAGCGGAGAAGAGCGACTATAAAAAATTTACTGATACTTTTTTGAAATTTTTTTTTCAACTTTCAAAGAAACAACAAAGTTGTGCCCTCAAAGCTCTATGAACTTCAAAAACAATTTATGATTGACACTTATGATTGATAAAACTGATTCAACTAGAAAAAACTGGATAATAAATTTACTATTCCGCTGGGAAATTGGAACCTGATCTAAACTATATTTTATGATTGGATAAATTAAATGTTTTACCAATGTAAAGTATTTAATATTAACCAATCATGATCCATCTAACTAACAACCCACTTATTTGTAAGTGCTGAAGTTACTTGTAATTTCAGCACCAGAGAGATTTGAATTTAACTTAGAAATTAGTTGGACTCTCCCGAGCACTTCAGAAACCGCAATAAACCAGTATACCCTAGATCTATTGAGCCTAGCAGAGACTAGTTAAACAACCTGAGACTAGATAGTATAAGAGTAAGATTAGGATCGGTATTAGACTAAGAAGTTGCACGAATCTATCCGGCCGAAAATAAGATAGCGTGACGAGCAGACGGTGTACCCTATCCGAAATTACTCTATGAGTTATACAACCCAGACCTAACTCATCTGGTGCGACCATAAGTCTCGAACAAGACCTTAATAGCTTAGAATTAACCAAAATAGATTAGAAATTAGACAAAAACATTTACAAAATGTTATACGACAATAATTTAATCGAAATGTCTCTACGACTCAATAGATCAGAGCCAATATTCCGAACCATAACAGAACTACCCGGAATTGGAAGAAGACCTCGAACCAAAGACGACATACGACAAAGTAGAAACTTACCGTATAGTTATATGATAGTTCGGCAAAAGCCAGAACAAACTTTTATATTTCGAATACTACTTGCAATGAATTTAGATTTCCATTTGCAAACATAAAACCTTGAAGCTAATCTTCAAAATCATTACAGGCGCTAAACAAAATTATTAATATACAATAACGATTGATAAAAAGATCTAAGATCGTTTTCCTAAAACTGCAGTAATATACAAAACATGTTTGAAAAATATTTATTGAAAAATAAAAATAAAAATTAGTAGCATGACAATAAATGGTTAGTAATCATAAATCATCCTGTTGTTCCAGCTCCATCACCTAAAACATAACAGCAATCATAAACCCACTAATATCATCAAAACACTAAATCTTTCCTTTACACACATTTAAAATTTTATTAAAACTTAAATTCACTTAATTTTAAAACCAGATCATCAAGGCTTATCCTTGGATCTTAAATCATTTTCTACTTAATTAAATTTCAAAAATTGATCATCAAGGCTTATCCTTGGATCAAACAGAACAACTTTGTTCTCCCCCACCCACTTAATTAGTGTCTAACGACCTCAAACGTCGATTCACTACCCAACCCTTTCTAAAGACCTAAGACTAATAGAAATTTTTAAACAAAACTAATCATTCAAATTAGGATAAACAGTGAAGAACTTCGGTTATTCATCCTTCACTTGACCCCCCCTCTTACCAGACCCAGGATAAATCTTAGACTTAGTAAGTTTAAAATAGTATCTAACGAACTACTCGCGTTCTAATTATACCTGAACCTTGTGGATCGATTTACTATTCTCCAACCCTTGAACACAATCACTACCCCTAAGTAAGATTAAGTAAGTTAACACCTTAGCTTATACTAGCCACGAGAAGGTATAAAATCATTCTTCGGAATCGATATACTTTTCTCTCCAACCCTGAACAAATAGACCCAGGTTAAGCTCACCAAAAAATCGTAAGAACTAACAGTTTAAGAAAATAGAAATCATTTAACAACCCTTTGCATCCGTCATCCTAAACCTTATGTCATTTAAAAACCTAGGAAATAAACAAACAATCGTTTTACACAATTGTGAAATAGATAACAAAAAATACGACCTTGTAATCACACCTCATACACAAACAGTTGGATACATTCGAACAAAACGACAAACACTAAAAAGAAAAATAATAACGAAACAAAGACAAATAACACGAAAAAGATTTTCAAAAAATCGAAACGCATTTTCAGAATCAGAAACCAACAGTTTAGACGAACTTTACAAACTAAAAGAATCAATTGATAAAAATTGCCCAATTCACGATCAATTATATTTTTCTGACTCAGAAACAACTTCAAATTCATCAAAAAGAGGAAAAAGAAGAATAAAAAAGCAGTATAAACACAAACCAGTACATTTATACAATTGGAATCAACCAATTAGACACATTGATAATTACATATTAACAGTCATCGAACGAAAAAATGAGCTCAACGCACACCCCAGGTGAAGAAAGTCCAGATGATGATGAAATCTTTCCTTTTATAGTAGATGCAGATACCGATAGAGGACAACATATATTTTGCAAAAATTTACTATTAAATTTATTTGAACCCGGAATTAGTCCATGTAAAACAGAGTTCCCAGATGTAAAAATCAAAAGACAAATCATAGACCACTACTTAAAAGATATATGCAACATAACACAACAGTATGGAATCTACTCCATAGAATTCACCTCACCAAACCATAATAATAGAAAATATACAATTCAAACAGACGACCTTGATTTAGAATTTTCAAAAGTTTTCTCAGAATACATAAAAAGTATCCAATATCAAAACTCGCAAAGAGCAAACTCCATATTCACCAATGAAGTTTTCGCAATAATATATAGTTATATTTCGATATTAGAAAACGAAACCCCAATAACAAATGTCTCACCGACAGAAACATCTAAACATTTAAGAGTACGACATGAAATCACACTATTCTCTAGTTATTTAAACATCATAAAAGAAAATTTCACGAAAGACGACGTTTCACAACATACAAAACACGATCTACAAAAAATTTTAGCATGGTTCATAATAGATTATTTCACACATAATATTGATTTAATTGCACAAGCAAGAAAAAATTTCAGACCTCAAAATTCAAACGATGATACCGCCATCACAGAACAGTCAGACTATATTTGGGACCCCGAATGGTCTCATTATGCATTCATAAATTTCCCACAATCAATCTCAAGTCAAGCAATAAGTACGATATCTTACATAAGAGATTATGTAAAAGTAATACCATTAACTATTGATGCAACACCATTAAACTATAATACATTTTTGCCCGATACACAAAATAATAGTTTAAACTCTACAGTCATACACCATGAAAACCTCAATGGAACTAGGAATCTTACTCAACAAGATATCCAGACACCATCACACTTCATAAATGAAGAAATTGTGCAAACAACAACTACACAACAAAGTATTTCACCAATACGCCCAAATTTAACAACACCAAGAAATACAAATCCTTCACAAACACAGGTAACCTTACAATCAACCGTTAAACCTTCGGTTGCCCCTAAATATTCACATATGGATTACCAAACATACAGACCCATGACAATACCATCAAAAACACGCAAAACATTTACTAGAAACAACTTTGCAGACCATAATTATAATTATACACATCCATCAAAAACATATAATCAACCACAAAGAAATTTTAACCAATATACAAGATCTCGAAATTGGGATAACCCAATGACCCAACCTAATTCAATAAATTTCCAAACAAATCCTCCACAGGATCACAGTGAAAATTACCCATTTTTTCAACAAAATAAAAATAAAAAACAGACATCTTATCAAATGGATTACTTATCCTCAGATGATGATTTCTTACAACCAGATATATTTGGACCAAATACACAAGAATATCGTAGACAAGGAATACAGACAACACGTACAAATTATAGAAATTTTTCTCTACAACCAATAGATGCACAACATCAACAACCAATTGAACAACAAAATCTAATTAATACACAATCTTTTCAACCAATTCAACAACAAAATCCAATGACTGCACACTCGTATCAAGCATCACAAATGCAAAATGAAATACCACTCCCATATTATCTCCAACAACATGAAATAACAAGAAACCAACTTTCAAATTTTTCTCAAATGCCAAATGCAGCAGAATCATTACAAATGACAATGAATCCATACCTTATGGGTGGATCATCAATAACATCAAACAAACCTTTAATGGTTTTCACAGGAACAGACCCTGAATACTCCGTAGAAGATTATTTAAATGCAGTAACAGCAAACCTGATTTTAAATATTGGACCTGAACCAATTAATACGCCACTACATCAAAATTGGATACATCGACGCACAGCGTTAATACAAACAACCTTAGATGGCGCAGCCCAAAAATGGTTTTCAGTACTACCTCTAGAAATAAAATCAAACTGGAAAAGATTTACACAAGAATTTTCAAAAATGTTTGACTCCGAAAGAAACAAACAACAACAAAGAGTTTTATGTAATGAAATTCGCAGATTACCAAACGAAACCATCAAGCAAATAGCAGTACGAATCGAAACACTAGTTCGAAAAGCATATTCACTAAATACGCACGACTATAAAAACACAAAGATGACAGAAATCTTAATGATGACCTTAACACCACAATTAAGGAAAATAGCAATAAAAAAGAGAGCATCCCATCCTTCTTCAATTCGAGAACCCGATTTAGATTTTCGAAAACTAGTAGACAAATTAGAACAAGCAGAAATCACGATGAAACTAGAAGAAACGGAAAATCTGAAATTACAATACGTTAACAAAATTGAAACG